AGAGATTAAAAAAAATTCAAAGAAAATGACAAGAACGTATGTTTTTGCCTTTTCGAAAGTCAAATATAGTAGTAGATTATAGTGTCCTTTAGATTCACATTTCTCCATTTTTATTTTTCTCAAACTCTTTTCGTATACAAAAGACAAAGAAAGATTTTTTCTTTTCATGAAAAAACAAAACATAATACTTGTTTTAAATATAAGAAGACTTTGTACAGGTGAGAGAGAAGTAGTTTTAGAAGTCTAGACGACGGACATGAGCCGAGCGTGAGTCAGTATGTGACAAAATTGAATGGTTTTCCCGCTCCAAACGCATATGTGGGCCGCTCCAACTTTCAAAATTTCTTATTTATTTTAATTTTTGTATGTACTCCTAAAGTCCTAATGCATAAAACCAAACAAGTGTTTCTAATTGAAATTTAACAATTCCGCGCTCATATTTTAGATTTTTTTTTTCCCCATGATTATGAAAGTTTTTGGTACGGTCCTTGAAAAAGAAAGTTGGGAGATGGAAGATTCAAAAGTGGCTAACGATTCTCGTGGGACGTAGTAGCTCCTCTCACTCTCTCTCACAGACTCTACTTTTCTTCTCCTTAAATTTGACATTTCAAAATTTTATCACCAAAGAGACATTTCAAAAAAATTAAAAGGGAAAATAAATCAAACATAAAGACCCCATCAAGAAGAAATGCAGCTCTGCCGACGGATACGTCCAGGGTAATTTAGTCATTTTAATTTTAAACTTTTTTTTTGTTTGTTTACAATTTTTCTTCAATCCATTAATTTCTAGTATTAAGCTATATCGTTGAAAATATAGACAGATTTATGACCCCGCGTAAAGAATTACTGTATTCTAACCGGAAATTAGGCAACAGTGTGAGTTTCTTAATAAATTGTGAAAAGAAACAAAAATGGAGACTTGTTGTTTATTATGGAAACAAGGATGGATTAGCCGTCGGGGAATTCTGATTGGTTGGCTCACGTCAAATGCATGAGACACAGCCAATTAGAGCACGGCACGTCAGCATTACACGTGGCTCCTTCTTCTCAAGCCGCCGGCTCGGCTCCTTCATACATTTTTAAACGCATGAGACACAACCAATTAGAGCACGGCACGTCAGCATTACACGTGGCTATTTATTTTTTTTGTTATATAGCTAAGTAACCCTTTATTATTTAACTTATACAATAATTCTTATTATAAAATAACAAATTTCTTATAAAATGTCGTATTCATAATTCGGGGAAAAAAGTTTTTGGCAATTTAATTTATTATACAAAATTATAACGCATTTATTATACAAAATTAATTTATTATACAAAATTTAATTTATCGTTTGGGTGTTGTAATCATCACGCATTTTCCAAATTTGGGGAGATTTCCATTACTATAAAATTCAACAGAATTACTCAAGATGCAGATTCTATATTGTATACAAATACATGCAAAATGCCAAAAGTATTGTTCAACAAAACAAACAATTAAAATTAATAAAAATTTCTCCAACTTGGATAATGCTAAAAAATTACACTCAATCCCTAGTAATAATTACGGAAGGAAACTAGAAGAGAATCTACACAATATGAATAAGGTCATTTCGTACATAGAAACAAAGGAAAAAGGGATCTCCACAGATATTTTTTAGATTTTTTTGTTTGTTTAAAAAAAAATAAGAATGTTTATTTTTTTGGTTATAGAGTTTTTGAAGGAGGATAATGAGAGAGAATCATTTTCTCGTGGTGTGTTAGAAGGACAAAAAGCTGGCCCGCCATTTGTCTTCGGTTTCTGCATCATCTCAGTTCTCACTTTGCCTTTACTCCGAAGACATGCTTTTCTCCATTATTTCCTTTTTAGGGTTAATTAAGTAATTTCACTCCCCCTTAATCAAATAATTATGAGCACATTTACCTTTTGATTATAAAACTAAAAATGAACTGCAAAATCAAAACCACTGAGCGGGAAGGATAATTCCCCAAGATGAGCGGCGATCAACGCGCTTAAGGGCAAACTAGGAATTTCGTATCTTAAAAATAACAAAATCTAAGAGAAATAAAAGAAAACGAGTAAGCATAATTACTTTTTAACGAAAAATGGGAAGAAATGCCAGAATGGATAAATATTAAATAGTCTGACTCATTGTGAAGATCTTATTTACTCTGCTTTCTGTAATAAATTTGTACAGTGCCGTTTTTTTATTTAATCTTCTGTATCTTTCCTTAACGCAAATAAATACGCGTAGATTTATAAAAATGAATCTATTGGTATACAAATTTAAAGATTTATTGCCCCGGTTGGGTATAATTCCATTATTAGGAAAATACTTTTTTGCCCCTTTCTTATTTAAAAGAGAGTAAAAATGCGATAAGAGAGATAAGAAAAGGGAGAGGCTAAAAGATTACCAAATTGAATGCTTTACCAAACTCACAAAACCATCTCTTGACTCTCTTTTTTTTTTCTTTTTTTCTATCTCCTCCATTACCACCACCGCTCCTTCTTCCTCGTTCTCTCTTCTTCCTCCTCTGACTCATCAGGTATTTACCCTAATCTCTGTTCAATTTAAGAGGGAAATTTAAAAGGGTTTCTTTTAGGGTTTTCGTATGTCTTTGAATTTGCTTCGTTTGTTGGGTTTTATTTCAGTCTCGTGACTGACTCTGTTTGTGGGTCGTTTTCGGAATTGAGTTCTCTCCGGTAGTCAG